ATATCTAGCTCTAACCCTAAAGGGTTTTTCTTTTTTATATATTTTAAAAAGCAATGGATAGGGTGGTGGGTGGGTGGGTGAAAGAAAAATATAAAATTTATTCTCTCCTTTCTTCACATTTGAGATAAATAAAACAATATCAACAGCATGCATACACGAATTCAAATAGCAATGTGATGTGTGAGTTGAATTAAAGAGATAAATGAATAGAACCTATCTCCCGCATCCCCCAGAATAATACTAATAGATGTAGTAGTAGTAGTAGAGTGGCAGACATGGGCAGGGGGTGTAGTGGGTGGGTGGGTGGAAACTCGTGAGGTGGGGGACCTTCACTGCTAATCTGAACGTTGTCAGGTGGTCCTAAAAAGGACCTTGGTTGAGGACAGGGGGTGGTGGTTTGGGCTTAAAAGAAACCTCTTAAGCACGCTCACCACGGATACGTCTGGCTAGCTGGATGTCCTTGGGCATGATGGTGACACGCTTGGCGTGGATGGCGCACAGGTTGGTGTCTTCAAACAGACCGACGAGGTAAGCCTCGCTAGCCTCCTGCAGGGCCATGACAGCGGAGCTCTGGAAGCGAAGGTCAGTCTTGAAGTCCTGGGCGATTTCTCTGACCAGGCGCTGGAATGGCAGCTTGCGAATGAGCAGCTCAGTGCTCTTCTGGTAACGACGGATTTCTCTCAGGGCGACGGTTCCAGGCCTGTAACGATGGGGCTTCTTAACACCGCCGGTGGCTGGTGCTGACTTTCTGGCGGCTTTGGTGGCCAGCTGTTTACGTGGGGCTTTGCCTCCGGTGGATTTACGGGCGGTTTGTTTTGTTCTGGCCATGGCGGTATCTCAACTGGATGATAGTCAGTTTAAGAAATGTGGCAGCCCAGCGCTGCTGGTCCTTTTATAACCGTCCGCCAAACCCTTAGCGCAACGAAGCTCTCCCATTGGACGAGTACGAGTTTAACAACGCTGATTGGCCAGAAGCAGCCACACAACGTTGAGACAGCGTCGACATACCTAGCAGATTATTTTTAGATCGCTCGGTATCCAGCCGAGCGATCTATTAATAGCAGACAGGGCCGATAACACAAAATATTCTTCGTTCAAATGAAATCCTTGGTTGTGCCGCTTGTCATGGGTAACGGTGTGTTTGCTTCTGTCCTCTTCAATGAATTATGAATGTGTGTGAGTGATTAGAAAAGAACCCAACATAGACTGCATGAAACAATCTAGATCTAGACCTAGTCTATAGACCTATGTAGATATTCTGACCCAATTCTTACCCAATTCGCCCGCTCGATCGGCGGTAATAATAGTGTGTAGTGTGTAAATAAATGAGGGGGAAGGATTGTAATCAAACATATTTGTTTTTAAAAACAAGAAGATATAAAATAAAAATGGTAGACTAGCGGTGGGTTAAAGAATAGAATTTTAAAATAACGACCACCCTTATTTCTTGTAGACAAGGGTTAAACGCAGCACATTTAAAGAAAAAAAAGATTCTATTTACATTTGTATCTATGAGCGAATACCCCTAAAATATGTCCAGTTACTACTATTAATATGACCGCCCCCCTCCCTGTTCTGCTCGTGTAAACCAGTGTAAGTATTATACATCTATAATAATGATCTCATACTGCTAGTGAGTGACATATTGATGCGTTATTAATACAGTTTGAAACAAGTAGGGTAGGGTAGGGTTGGAAAACTCGATTTTTGTTCATTGACACACAACGAAAGCTAATTGGGTAAACTTTGGTTGTCCTGAAAAGGACAGTAGTAGGCTAGGTGGACAGTGGGCAGCAGGGTGACACTGTTTAGCTCTTGCCACCGGGTGTCTTCTGTGACTTCTTGGGCAGAAGCACGGCCTGGATGTTGGGGAGGACACCACCCTGGGCGATGGTGACACCCGACAAAAGTTTGTTCAACTCTTCGTCGTTACGGATGGCCAGCTGGAGGTGACGAGGAATGATTCTTGTCTTCTTGTTGTCTCTGGCAGCGTTGCCGGCCAACTCGAGCACTTCAGCGGCCAAATACTCGAGGACGGCGGCTAGGTAGACTGGGGCACCAGCACCGACACGCTCAGCATAGTTTCCTTTCCTCAACAGACGATGAATACGTCCGACTGGGAATTGAAGGCCTGCCCTGGAGGAGCGAGACTTGGACTTTCCCTTGACTTTACCGCCTTTACCACGTCCGGACATTGTGAGTTGGTTAGGAGCGAGAAGAAATACAGCGATTTTTTTTTTTTAAATACTTTTATTTGCAATAAAACAATAACATAATTTACAAATTCATTTAACCATCACAGGGGTTAAGTTGATTATAATAAAATACATTTTAGAGAGGTGGTTCATGTGTGAACGACAGATGAAAATAAAAAAAAGAGCGCGTCGTGTTTGACGGCCTCGGTAAATATACAATGATACATATATAGAACAAAAAAAAGGATGCCTCATAGTTAATACAATGCTACAATTTCAAGAGAAACTAACAATCTTGTAATGGTGTGTCTATTTACAGCTGATGCTCACAATATAAAGTTTGCCGTGTGTGGCAATGTAAATAAATAGTGTAATTACAAAACTTTCATAAAAAAAATAATTCCAAATTGTCAAATGTACAGTGGTGGGGCAGGAAGGAGTAGGTGGGGGTTGATGAGTGGCCGGGGGAGGTGTAGGAGGGGGGTGATTCATACATGAACAACTAATGTATAAAATGAAAGGAGCTTGTCGTGCTTGACAGCCTTAGAGTTGGTACAATACTACAATTTCAAGGAGAAATGAACATTCTTATAATGGTATAATAGCAAAACTGAAAGAAGGAAACACGTGGTGGGGCGGGGATGGGTAGGTGGGGGTTGTTGGGTGGACGGGGTGGTGTAGGTGGGGGTTATTGGGTGGGCAGGGAGGTGTAAACGGAGGTTGTTATGTAGGCGGGGAGGTGTAGGTGGGAGGTGTTGCGTACGTGAACAACAGATGTGTAAAACAAAGAAGGTTAACATGCTAGTCAGCCTCAGTTTTGATACAGTACTACAATTTGAAAAATAATTTAACATTCTTTCAAAAAAAAAAAAAAAAGAAAAAAAAAAAACAAAAAAAAAAAAACGCTAAACTGTGCCTAAAGGTTACGTGGATAAACAAAAATTTGAAGGAAAAGAAACGTTGAGGGGCGGGAAGATGTATGTGGGGGTTAGCTGGGTAAGGCGGGCCAATAAAGCGGAATCATTGTTGCGTGACATGAATGCTGAGGGTAAGGGGCGGGTCGCGATGGTTGACGGGGCACTGAGTGTGTGAGTTTAAGGCGAGCCAGACGTAAGAGATTTTGTTGTGTGTGAACTGACTACTGGGGTGTTACTATTTATGGTTTGTGTGTTGATGTGCTATATTTGTCCAGTCGTCTGCTAAAAATTAAATCTAAAATCTGTCCTGTAAACTGTGAATTTTCGAATTTAGCTCTGTTTCTACTAGTCCAGATGGTTTGTCTATAAACGGCGAGTATCCTGTAGGTCCGTCCTGTTTTTCTGTTTAGGTAGTTTGTTTAGCGTTATGGCTATGTCAACATTGTATGTGTCTTTTTTACTGATTATTTTGGTGCTAAAGGATGATTTTCCGGTTCACTGATTACTCTTTGGATATGTGTCAACCTGAATGTGTTTCTTTTTGTATATGTGTCGTGTAAGCTAACCCCCCCCCCCCCCCCATGAAGTTTGCTCTGGTGTGGCTAATAGTGTAGTGTTCTGTTCCAATATGTGTTCCTATTGTATGTTGGTGCTTTGTTGTTAAATGTCGCGAGTACAGCTGTTTTGTCACTAAACTATTGTGAGTGGTAGAGTTGTTGTACTTTGTTGATTTTCATTTGTCTTGGTGCATATATATCTAATCTAGAATTGTTGTGTTTTATTACTATGGGTGAATTGAGTTTTACTTGGGTGAAGTGTAAGTTGAAGTGACGTTTTATATTATTGATTACGTTTGCCAGTGGTTTGTTTCCATGATGGCGTCTGGTCAGCGAGTCACTATGTCCTGTTATGCCTAGTTTGTCTCATAAGTGGTTATTCGCCTGCTAGTATGCTATTATGGTCTGTATACTTTTTCACCAATAGTGTCTGTAAATTGCGGAAAAAAGGGACAGTTGCCTCTGTTGATAGGTCCGTGTAGGCCTACTTCAAAGCTTTAAGGTACTACTTATTTAAAAAGGATGCAGTTTAGTAAAGCATTTAGCCAAAATAAAGTAAATGCAATTATCTTAACAATTAATCTGGTCTTTATATTGTATATAGGGAACTAATCTAGAAATATGTAATATGTTTATATTCTAGTTTCAATTTCTTTTTCACTTTAGCTTTAACTTAAGTTATCAAGATCTTAATTAAAATCGAATAAAATAATATATTGTCACACACACACACGCACAAACTTTATATACTATATAGGGAACTAATCTAGAATTATGTAATATGTTTATATCCTAGTTTTAATTTCTTTTTGACTTAAGTTTTAATTTGAGTTATTAAGATTTTTATTAAAATCGAATAAAATAATATATTGTCAAACACACATACACACACACACACACACACACGCACGCGCGCACGCACGCACACACGCACGCAGACATGCACGCACGCACACACGCACACACACACACGCACACACAGGCAAAAGGCTGATATATAGGCTCATATATATATATATATATATATATATATATATATATATATATATATATATATATATATATATATATATATATATATATATATATAAGCAATAAACACAATCATGTAGGCATTTCTGTTGATATAAACAAGCAAAAAATAAAAATCGAGTTGATTACAGCTTGTCTTTAACAGATGTCTCAACATTTAAAGAAGTATTTAACAACTCAGTTTGAGCTATTGGACGAGTCAAGTTTTCTTCTACAGAGTAACATCAGGGATTTCGTACAGCAGGTAGATACTCAAAATATAAAATATCTTTGTTAGATAAAGTTGAGTGTCTTTTCAAATGGATAGTGTTTTTAAAAATGATTTATTTATAAAAAAAAACAATGAATTTTCTTTGTATTATAGTATAAAAACACAACTTATTGAAATATACTATTGGTTTATTATTTTTTTTTGTAACACTCACTGTTAATTAGATTCATCTAAACAATCTAGGTATAAAGACAACCTGTAGAAGCTACATGTTAAACATATTTAGCCTTTAACATAAGACTAAACATTGATAGACTGTGATTGGTAATAAATGATATAATCTTAAAGCACATAACCACTTCTAATACTTTCTTGTTACTTGTGCAGATAAAAACCAGAGCCAATGAATGTGTAGACAACTCTACAGACTCCATTAAAGCTGTGAAAGATGCAATCGCTATGGTAACAACAGCACATAGTACAATACTAGAACACACAGATATGTTCACTGGTATGGATAGATCTTTATTTAAAAACATTACCTATTATTAGTTTGTTGAGAATATATTCACTTTTGATCTTGTAAAATTATTTTATTTTTTGTCATCATCATCATCACTCATTTGTGGCCCCTGGGGAGCAAAGGGCTGCAACCACACATCTCCAGCGGACTCGGCTTTGGGCTGCTCCTCTAATCTGTGCCCATGAGAGCCCAGCTGTTTTCGCCTCCTCCTCAACCATTCTCTTCCATGTTTTCCTTGGCCGGCCCACCCTCCTTTTCCCCTGGGGATTCCAGTCCAATGCATGTTTTGCGATGTTTTCTTTTTCTTTTCTTAACGTGTGTCCGATCCATCCCCATTTACGAGCCTTTCTCTATCGGCTGTTGTTTTAAAATTTGCCACAGGTCTTTGTTTGATATTTTATCTGGCCATCTTATTTTGAGTATATGTCGTAAGCATTTGTTTACGAACGCCTGTAGCCTATCAGTAATTGTCTTCGTAACCCTCCAGGTCTCCGAACCATAAAGTAGCACTGCCTTAACATTTGTGTTGAAAATCCCAATTTTGCTCCAGAGTGACAGGGCCGTGGACCTCCACATCGGGCGCAGTGAGTTGAAGGCACATCTAGCCTTGTTGATACGGCATTTTATGTCCTCGTCTGCTACCCCGTCCTTATTGATCACGCTGCCCAGATATGTGAATGTATTATTTTTTGTCAGTGGTTATTAAAATAAAAATTCTTGAAATTTGTTTTACTTTAATAAGTGTGCAATGATGAATGAATTGACATCTGTAAAAGACCTTTCACTGTACATACATCTGATAAAAACTATTGTCAGTGCATAATGTAGGTTTGAGTGACCTGAAGTGCTATCTGTAAGCTTTGTGTATATCTTATGTATATCTTGTGTACAGAATCCACCCTGTTGTACCCTCCCACAGTGATGGCGGGGGAAAAGACATCAATAGAAAGTTTGAAATCAGCAGACACTGGATTTAAATTTAAAGCCTCTATATCTGGTTACTAAGTGATGCTGATTACAATTTAATTACATTATTATCACCCCAAGGAAGCAATTTATAAGATTATTATAAATTTAGTGAATGATTAAAAAAAGTGCAGTTAAAACAATTTATTTATTAATTTGTAAAAAGAAGAGATTACTCAATAATTAGATGAAAAGGAATGTGCTATTTTGTTGTTTGTTAGATGCTATTAAAACTGGTAACTTTAATGAATTCAACAAAACAGTTGAAGTTTGGATTTGCTTAGTTAAATATTTAATTAACAATATTCTTTCTTGTCTCCCAATCATTGGAAATAACAATATTCTCTTTGAGAGTATAATTTTAATTATTTTGCTAAGTCTTATAAAACCTATTTCATTTTGTAATCAAGTTGAATGTAGTCCAGAAACTTCTAGAAGACTAAAGGATATTGAAACAGCTTTATCATCCCTTCAAGACACAAAACAAAAGACTGAAGATGACATATCAGAAATAAAAAAATGGAGGGACAACTTTGTTACAGAACAAAAAGACATTAGGATAAAAATTGAAAAGTTGTGCAAGAAACATAAACAGCACTTTAAAAGCATTAGGACACAAATACACGAACAAGAAAAAAAATTAAAAAATCTGTCTGAAGAAATGGAAAGTTTAAGAGAAAAAGAATCAATTTTTGTCAAAATAATAGAACGAATGTCAATAGATATGAAAGATTACAAAAGGAACTTAGATAAAATAAATAAAGAGATGCCAGGTCGAACAGATAAAACAAGACATTTATCACAAGAAATTAAGAGCCATTCAGATTTGATAGCTACAATACAAGAAGATGGAAAGAAAAATAGAAGGTATACAACAAAAACATGTGAAAAACTACTGTCTAAGGTAATATTTTATTGAAGCTGTATTAAGCGGATTTAGTTTATTTAATTAAAAATGTATTACAGTTTAGACACAGCTAAGTCATAGACATTTTTAATATGTACCTCTTATGCATTAATACAACTTATATTAATACAACATATATAATGGATTATAACTATGCTGCATGTATTTCATGTGTTTATCCTTATATCTATACTCTGTTATGATGTGTCTGTGTTAGTAATTGTAGTAAAGCATGACTTAAAGCTAAATTGGCTAAAATGACTTTTCTGATTAAAAATGCTATATTCTATATTATGGCATAAATAAGGTACTGCTGTTCTATTCTTAGACTGAAACTCAAGAAAAAGATGTTCTTAAGTTGTCGCAGAATTCTCCAGCAATTGGTAAGTAAAATAATGACAAACAACTATAGTCCTTATTACAAATAAACATCTTTTGAGCTTAAACCCTAGTGTTTAGTCCAAACTAAAGTAAATTAAAGTTCACTTTCGAGTAGCGCTCACCTGTTTCTGTGAACTCGGCAAACCATGGTGTGGTCAGCACTATGCCCAGCCGCAGAGGCGTAGCGACCCTTCCCGGCGCCCGGGGACAAACTTTCGATTTGCACCCCCCTCGAACTTTTCATTTGCACCCCCCCTCAAACTTTCGATTTGCACCCCCCGTCGAACTTTTCATTTGCGCCCCCCCCCTCAAACTTTCAATTTAGCGCCCCCCCCCCTAAGGTCGGCGCTCGGGGACATATGTCCCCCCCCCCCCCTCGCTACGCCTCTGCCCAATCGCCTTTGACGTTCCATAACATGAGTTAGGTACCCTCAGAGTTTCTTCCAGGCATCTCTTCGCCCCCCCCCCCCGAACGAAATGAAATTTGTATAATTTATATAGAAAATATATACTTTTAACAGTGTCCGCCCCCTCGCCGAAAATTTCAAGTGCCCCCCCCCCCCCCCCCCGGAGAAAAAAGTCTGGAAGAAACACTGGGTACCCTATCAAGGACATTCTTACTCGAACCGGGACTCGAACTCGAGTCTTTCAGGTTAGCAATCTAGCGCCTCACCGCTAGGGCACACCGTCCCATCCTATCAGCCCTAAGGTGTCGTTATTCCTTGTTGTTATTAGAATGACTTCAGCTCGTCCAATGTCAGAGATGTTACTGTAATGGTTGTTCAGGTGGGAGCCATGTTTGGTTACTTGAGAAAGGGAAACAACCCACTTAAAACCACTGTCAAACCAATGTATGTTAAAATACTTTTTTTTTCTGTTTTACCCTCGTCTATATAATGCTCTTACGACAGTAGGCGTCTAAATAAAACGAAAATTGTTGTTATATAACGACCGTTCCATTGTGTGCGCAGTTTGGACCCTTGTCTGATTTATGTGCATTCAACATAAAGTAAAAGTAAATTAAAGTTCCATTTTCAAACCTGAAGGTCTATGCGGCAAGTGAAGTAGAGTTCACTTGTTTCTGTGACCTCGGCATATGAAGAGATAGTGTGGATAGCACTATGTCCAGCCGTCTTTACTTTTCCAGGGACGGTCTACTGACTTTAACCCGGATTCGAACTCGAGACTTACGGGTTAACAGTCCAGCTCTCTACCGCTAGACCACTCCGTCCCTATTCAACATTAGGGTCACCCATAAATCACGTCACGTTTTTTGACGATTTTACCCACCCCGCCCTCTGTCACACATCGTCACAAAAAGCCAGACCCCCCTAAAATGACGTCACACCTCAGCCTACCTCCCCCCCTAAAATAGCAGTTGCATTTTTTTTAAACATCGAAATTTTTCCAAAATCTTGTCTGAACTTTGTCATCATGGATTATTTTAATCAAATCCTATTACAGTTTATTTAAACAGTTTTATAAAACGCGAAATATCGGTTAAACCTTGTTTTCTAACATTGCTTTTTTATAATGCAAAAATGTGACGTCACACCATCTGAAACCACACCCCTCCCCCTCATCACACACCGTCACAAAATTACGGACCACTTCCACCTTCGAGTGTGACGTCATTTACGGACGACCCCATAGGCGTACATACATCTTTCTGTTCACGGATCAATGCACTTTAAAAATGTATTCTCTTACATCTGTATTGTATTACTGTCCGAACAATTGTGTTGGTTTTACTACAAACATTGTGTCTTAATTAAAATAAAATACGTTTTTATTAGTAGTTTGTTAAGAATAAACAGAGGTAACTTTGTATCTTAATTCGTGCAGCCAATCAACAAGTGAAACATTCTACACTGGGGTTTGTTGCTTCACAAGGTCGCTGGAATGGGGAATGGTATATGGGACACCCAGTTATTACATTCAAAACTGTGAAACGGAACGTAGGAAACCATTTTGATCCAAAGACTGGAGAGTTTACCGCCCCTGTTGATGGCCTGTATAAAGCAAGTCCTACAATAAAACAAACAGCAGATGATGAAGTTAAAGTGTGTGTTGGGCACAGATCTGGTGGCGTGACGTCATGGCTCGATTGTGTTGTGACAGAAGATAAATCTGTGGACGCTTCTAGAACATTGGAAGTTCAGATGAAAACGGGAGATGTTTTATATTCAGTCACTGGCCATAATGACTGTGAATGTACACATTTTTCTTGTGCTCTTCTTGACGTCTAGTTTTCATACAACATAACATGTGCAGAGGCGTAGCGAGGGCGGGGCGGGAGGTGCGGACCACACCGGGTGACACCTGACCATGTGACGCCACTTAACATATGTACAAACAATTATTACACAGTTTCTTGTAGATAGTAGTCAAAAAGTGTTACAAATTTAATCCTTGAAGAAAATTCAGAGGTTTAAATATACAAATATTTACAATACATTGTCAGAAAGAATGAAAACGAAAGGAAGCTAGTGACCTATTTTCTCTGCTCGCAACACCAAAGATGTTACGTATAGTAACATCAATGTTACATTAACAAAAAAAAAACAAAAACAAAACAACAAACCAACAAACAAACTTCAACATAAATAGTCAGTAATATAAATAATGTGTTTGTTTTTATTCATTATTTTACTCTTTTACCTATGCAATAAATCAGGTTATTTTTTAATAATAATTACTTTTTTCTTGGTTGTATTTTAAAATATTTAATGAAATAAAATAATCTCATTAACCTAGTAAAAAACCCTAGTCAGGAAAGTAGAACCTTGCATTGAAAATATAATTCACAGAGACCAACAATGCAGCATCCCAGAAAGAAACATAAAAAAATCACACCTATCTTTTGAGATATATAGTACGATATTTTACGTAGAAAAACACATGCTTGTAAATCCTTAGTATAGATCATTAAAAATAATTAGATAGAGTAGATCATACATGTCTAACATAAACAACCTAGTGCATTACTTTAAAACATGGATCAAAATTATCTAAACAGATGCACATAGCCACCTTTTAGTAAATAACATAGTCACAAAACCATACTCATTCGAAAATCAGCTAGACAAGCAGGGGCGTAGCGAGGGGGGGGGGGCGGGGGGTGCGGACCGCACCGGGTGACACCATTTAGGGGGGTGACACCAAGGCAAAAAATAGCAAAATATATAGAGAAAAACTTGAGGGGGGGGGGAACGCAAATCGAAAGCTTGAGGGGGGGGGGTGCAAATCGAAAGTTTGAGGGGGGGGGGGGGGTGCAAATCGAAAATTTGAAAGTTTGTCCCCGGGAAGGGTCGCTACGCCTCTGGGGGGGTGACACCATTAAGTGCCGCACCGGGTGACACCCGACCTCGCTACGCCACTGTAGACAAGTCTGTCGACTATCCCGGCGACTATATATCCTTAGCATAGAACCTATACTAAATTATTAGATAGGACAGCTGCATTAAAGGATTATCACTGCCAAACACGACGGCCAAAAATATCATCGCATATTCCGACGATACGAATTTCATACTACTTATTAAATGTTCACAGAATTAGAAAGAAGTACCGAAGAAAACATTAATGCAGGAAAATTGAAAATAATGCGGCTAGGTAGATCGACAGACAATAAAACAATCGATCACAATAATCGTTTGATTAAAACTGTACTGTATAACAAACATATGCAGACAGTCCGAAATTAACACATTGTCCACATACAAAAATGCCATACTATTATTTTTGCAACGGTGAATATATATATATATATATATATATATATATATATATATATATATATATATATATATATATATATATATATATATATATATATATATATATATATATATATATATATATATATATATATATATATATATATATATATATATATATATATATATATATATACAGGGGCGTAGCGAGGGGATGGGGCGGGGGGTGCGGACCGCACTGGGTGACACCATTTAGGGGGGGTTACACCAGGGCAAAAAATAGCAAAAATATATAGAAAAAAACTTGAGGGGGGGGGGGGGGGTGGAAATCGAAAGTTTGGGGGGGGGGGGAGGTGCAAATCGGAAACTTATGGGGGGGGGGGGGGGGGGGGTAAATCGAAAACTTGAAAGTTTGTCCCCGGGAAGGGTCGCTACGCCTCTAGGGGGTGACACCATTAAGTGCCGCACCGGGTGACACCCGACCTCGCTACGCCACTGTATATATATATATATATATATATATATATATATATATATATATATATATATATATATATATATATATATATATATATATATATATATATAATCAGAAGCGCCAGACATCCAACTTAAATGCAGAGCTCTCTCCTCTCTCTCTTATACGGTCGATGCCGGCTCCAGCTTTTACTCATTATCCAGGCAGGCTTGAATGGCGTTAAGAATCGAACTTTTCTCTCCCCCAGGTTACCAGCGGCTAGACACGTGGACTGTCATCGAACTTTTGTGCCAGTTTAAAATGTCATCGAAAATTTATTTTGATATACCTTCTCAGAGGCGTAGCGGGGGGGGGGGGGGGGGTGGGCGCCGACCGTAGGGGGCGCCAAAATGGGTTGGAAAAACAAATTGAAAGTTTGAGGGGGGTGCAAATCGAAAGTTTAAGGGGGGGGGGGAGGGTGCAAATCGAAAGTTTAAGGGGGGGGGGAGGGTGCAAATCGAAAATTTGTCCTCGGGCGCCGGGAAGGGTCGCTACACCTCTGTACCTGCTCACGGGTCACAGGGCTATTGATATGGAAATATTCTCGTCGCTTTTAGCTCTTAACTTTACTGCACGGATTTAACCCACACAAAGTATCGAATGCAAGGATTTAACCCACACAAACTATCGAATGCACGGATTTTACCCACACAAAGTATCGAGTGCATGGATTTAACCCAAACAAAGTATCGAGTGCACGGATTAGCGATTGTAGTTATTCTAAAAACTAAATTCTCCATGTAAACTACCCGTGAAGGTAGATCGCTCGACTGCGAGCTTGAAGGTAGTGAGTTCGAAGCTTGGTCAGTAACTGAAATTGCATGACTTCATTGAGCACCCATTTGCAGAGGCGTAGCGACCCTTCCCGGCGCCCGGGGACAAATTTTCAATTTGCACCCCCCTCAAACTTTCGATTTGCACCCCCCCCTCAACTTTTCGATTGCATCCCCCCCCCTCAAACTTTCGATTTGCACCCCCCTCAGCTTTTCGATTTGCACCCCACCCCTTAAAGTGCAAAAATGCAGCTAAAATAACATTTTAATTTGTTTTACAACCCATTTTGGCGCCCCCTAAGGTCGGTTCCCGGGGACATATGTACCCCTTGCCCCCCCATCGCTACGCCTCTGCCCATTTGCCATAGTACTGACCACAAAATCACCTCATATGAGGATGTCAAGATATGGACTCTACCTTTTGGATTGAAAGGAGTGAAAGGGGATTTGATGTAAATTTCGATAAGGAGGTGCCTTTTATATGTTTTATATATTTAATCAGAATTAACTATACAGTTAGAAATAGAAAGAAAGAAAAAAACTTGTGCCATGACTTCATAGTGATTTTAAACGCATCAGTCTATTATTGAAAATAAATATTTATTTTGTTGTGACATGAAAGATGTCTAAAAACAAAGATTTATATTTTTCATTTAAAATGACATAAACATAAAAATTGCTGGAACAGCCAATACAGACCAGAGTGGAGAGAGAGACGCTGACAAAGTCTTGTTGTTCGTAATTATCATCTAGCTCATCAGCTAACAGGGTCGTGGTCAGAAAAAATGTGAAGTTGACCACCAAGTAGATGAAAGTGACCGTCAAGAGCGTGCGTGTGGCCCTGTGAGACCCTGAGCTAGGGCTGGTCAAAATATCCTTTCTTTTCATCGTCGCTATTTTAATTTTGACGATGACCAGTAGAGATCCGAGCAGAACGATGATCAAAGGAACTATACTGGTCATGTAATTAAATATGTAGCCTTTAAATAAGGAAATAATTTCCCAATGTGTGTTACAGAATTCTGTAACCTCCATCGTCCCAGTCCCTGATAAAGTGTAGTGGAAAGAATAGCACGCCGTGTAGAAGACATTCCAAGGTAACCAGAATATGTACGTGATGACAACTATAGTCTTAGCTCTTTTACTGGTCATTATTTGTTTAAACTGGAGCGGAAAATACACGGCGAAAACTCGCTCGACTGAAATTATAGGAGGTAGAGTCACTGAGACGTACGATCCCCACATGAGAAAGAAAAGCATTATTCGGTCTAAATTATAAGCGACAAAAGCAACATTGTGTGAATAGTGCCAGCCGACGTACTTGTAGGTCAAATCTTCAGAAACAGTAAACGTGATCAAGTTTGTGACGTATAAAGCACCAAACAGAGTCATTGAGTCCGAAACGGTCATAGACATCAGGAATATCGTTGAGGACTTACGGAGCCCATCCTTCACTAAGACAATTAGCCCGAATATGTTGGATATCAGACCCACGATACCTATTGTAGGGTTTACAATAAACAACAATACAGCGTGGACCTGGTTAGTCAACCTGATCTTATCGCTCAACAGTTCTGTTGATGACGTATTATATGCGATTCCAGTCGTTGGTTGCGTTACATACATTACCCAGTCGTTTAGTGACACCGACATTTTCCTTTTTTTTAAAATTACGAATTCGGAATTTTATTTCGCAAGTTTATTGTCAACGCTTTCCTTCTCCTAAAATAATTCATTCAAATCTAGTTTTAAAAAAAAAAATCGATAATGATATACAATAATTAAATAATTTAAAATGGTGTATGTAATTGAGAGAATGTAGCAAATGCTGTACACAGACACATAGATAATATAATACACTGTTAAATTTCGTGTAGACGGTAATCTGTGATTATAAAAGTTAAAACATCCACGCCGTGGTAGATTGGAAGAGCGCTCGTCTGCTCCCACAAAAGTCTACAGTTCAAACCTCGGTCTTCAATACGCTTGACTTCCCTAAGAAAACTAAGGCGATCACACTATTAACTTTTTATGTCACGACATTGAAACTAACGAACTCGTCTTTATATATCCCTTATACACTGAAGATAAAATGATGATACATTTTACTACATGATTTTACTGGTTCATATTGGACTAGATAAAAACAATAATCAATTTTTGTATTCTGCTTGTAAATAATGTGATTGATTTCATTAATTAGTATTTAGTTCAGAATGTTTTCTCACTTTTTAACTTGCAATTTATAAAAAAATTGCCAGTTTCTTAATATATGAACTGTATTTACTTTATTTTTTTTATTTTTAAATCATTCAAAGCATTTAAAATAGTTGTTAAATACATTTCATACTTTCTATTTTGCAAGTTTAAAAAATTTAATATAATCTATCTTTTTCTTCTATTTGTATACTATACTATAGTATAGTATATAAACTGTACAACAAGCTATCACTGACAAACCGATACAATATAATTCAATGTTTCTACAATGGACGATAAAATAACCAACGTTTCCAGATAGCAATATTTTATAACAATATTTCATTATACTGATCCAACTAAGTCAGTACCAATATTACCTTGCATCACTTACGCTATAATTACACATTTTAACAGAAAGTGTACAATGTATCATTTTGATGACGGAACTT